GAAATCATAAGATGCGTCATGAAACAGTTCAAGATCATTACAAACACCGAGCTTGCGTCAGAAGTACCATTGCGTCAGTCCGCACTGTTTTTAGTGGCTTCTTTGCGCCTGCATGTTGTCTTCATAATAAAAAGCACTAAACACATGAAACTTTATGCTCTTTCTGTCTGATGAGTCATCTGTTTCAACTGGATCGTTGATTCATAAGCTTTCGCTCTTTTCCTTCTTCTCTCTTCTCCGTTTTTTTGTGTTGCTTTTTCATTCTTATTCTAATTATATACTGTTTCAGAACAGTTTAAGCAAGATGGGGAATGGCGAGAGCTCCATGGCTTTAGACAGTATGTGATTCTTCATTGAAAGAATCTTATTCCTTTTATTTTTCAGAGCATCTATTCGAGCTGAAGTTTGCTTCGAAGCAGCTTGAACGTAGTGCAGCTAACTGTGAAAAACAAGAAAAAGTAGAGAAGGACAAGTTAACAGCAGCTATTAAGGTATGGCTGTCATGCTGTAAGCTTACGTTCTTTTCTTCTAGAAAGGAAACATGGAAGTTGCGAAAATTCATGCTGAGAACGCAATCCGCAAGAAGAATGAGGCTGTTAACTACATTAGAATGGCAGCAAGAATTGATGCTGTAGCTGCTAGAGTTCAATCAGCCGCTACACAGGTATATTTCTTCCAAAACATTTTGTATTGATTGTATTGCTATGCACAGAGACGTGTAACTCAAAGTATGGCTGGTGTTGTGAAGGCAATGGAAAGCGCCATGAAGAGTATGAACTTAGAAAAGGTTGTTCACTTGTAGATCAAGAGGATATGAACACTGTTTTCCAGGTTCAACAATTAATGGATCGCTTTGAACGGGATTTCGAAAACCTCGATGTACAATCAGCCACCATGGAAAATACTATGGTTGGATCTACAGTTATGAATGCTCCTCAGTCACAGATTGATGCCCTGATTTCGGAGGCCGCAGACAAAGCCGGGTTTGTGTTTTTGATCAACACCTTTATTATTTTACGATTTTGCTTGTTCTTTGTGTTGCGGCACGGATGTTCTTTGTGTGTTCTTACTATATGAGACTGATTATTTCTTTTAGAATCGAAATCAACGCGGAGTTGCCGGCAGTTGTTCCAACGGCATTGCCTACAGGTCCTCAGTCTGTAGCTGAAGACCAGGAGCTCACCCAAAGATTAGCAGCGCTCAGAAATAATTAATTTTAAGAACTATCATTCCTTGTATGATATTTTGTGTACAGGTATTTCTGTAATTACGCTGTGTCAATACTCTTTCGTCAACCATGCTGTTTTCAAACTTTTCCATCTTGTATATTGTCGATCGATGTATATTTTTTTCATGATTCTCTTACTACTGAATGTTTATATCATATTCTTAACTAATATGACATGATTTTTTTGAAAAAAAATGCTATGAATAATTTTCTAAACTCTTCTTCTCGATTCGTTATCTAACGTCTAGTTAATGGTGATGCCTTGAGTGTACTTTGTACCCTACGGTGCTATCCAGTCGCATTGCGGGTTACCTTTCTTATGGTTGTTTGTGCATCTTCATATCATTCTTGATACATTTCAGAGCAGAAAATGAGAATCCTTGTCGGAGTCAAAAGAGTCGTCGATTATGCCGTCAAGGTACTGAATCCAAAAATGGGATTTGTTTATGTTTTTACGGCTTTAGGTCCGCGTTAAACCAGATAAGACTGGAGTCATCACCGAGAATGTTCAACACAGCATGAATCCTTTCGATGAAATCGCTTTGGAAGAGGCTGTTAAGCTCAAGGAGAAAAAGATCGCCAAGGAAGTGAGGATACCTATGTTGGCCTTGTTAATTTCGGTGTTTCTTGAAGGTTATTGCTTTCTCCATGGGAGGTCCCAAATCTCAGGAAGTTCTTAGAACTGCCCTTGCTAAGGGAGCTGATAAGGCTATCCATGTTGAGGTTGAGACAAAACTTAAAAAGAGAAAAAATAATCAATTCTTAAGCTTGCCGATGCTGAGGCTGCTAAGCTCGAGCCTCTTCATGTTGCTCAAACCATCCAGAAGTTGGTCGAGAAGGAGAAGTTCGATCTTGTTTTCGTTGGAAAGCAAGCTATCGATGATGATGCTGCTCAAACTGGACCTCTTCTTGCAGGTCTTCTTGAATGGCCCCAAGCTCTGTACTCCAGCAAGGTTAAAAAAGGATTTTCATCTAGTCTTACGCGTTCATTTCAGGTCGAAGATGGAGGAGACGGTTCTCTTAAGGTCACTCGTGAAATCGATGGTGGTCTTGACACTATCAAGGTTTATATAAATCAGTATTTTGCTTATTTTCCTATTCTTTGATTTCAGGTCAAAATTCCTGCTGTCCTTTCCGCTGATCTCCGTCTCAATGAACCCCGTTATGCCACTCTACCCAACATCATGAAAGCCAAGAAGAAACCTTTAGAGAAGCTGAAGGCTTCTGATTTGGGAGTTGATCTCACACCTCAAACTAAGACTCTTGAAGTAAGAAAACTCGAGATAGAAAGCAAAAACAAATTTCATTAAGGTATCTGAACCACCTGTCCGCAAGGCCGGAGGATTCGTTGCTGATGTTCCTGAGTTGATTTCTAAGCTGAAGGAGAAGGGATTCGTAAAGGCTTAAACATTTCTATTTGAATTTCAAAACGAGTTTTTTTATAAATTTCATCTACGGTTGTAGGATATTAGGGTTGATCAATAAATTATTGTGCAGATTTGAATGTTTTACGTTTCACGGCAGTTGCTATGGTGATAGGGTGGGGGCAAGGTGCACGGATATATTATGAGAGAAAAAGGAAATTGGAGTATTCAATCTCATTTTCAACTTTTCATATCCTCTCAAGAGTTTTGTTTCTGTTTTCAGATGGAGCGTGGTCCTCCTTTCATTTGGCCTAAAGGTGATTACTTCCTGCACCATTTCATTCCCTTAGACTTCGATCCATGCAAATCTCAAAGGACTTTAGTGGGATTTCAATTTATAAAGAGAAAGCTTTGAATATTATCGTTCAGAAACCAACGATTGATGCAGCTCAAGAATTTCTAGACATCTGTGTTAACAATGAGTATGGTAACTTCGTGAGGTTCGTTCAACTTTGCAACATCGGGGAATCGCGCACTTCAGCAAAGCGGATTGGGATTCCGCCGTCATTACAATAGGAGTTGAGAAGAAGATAGCTGATATCATTTTCCAGAATTGTTTCGACGAATCAAAAGTGAGAGATCGGAAAAGTTATAAGCTGCTATGCTCATTACAGAACGCTGCAGCGAAAGAGCAACTAGTTTTCGACATTTTCTTCCTTGTACTTGAAGATTACAGCTACAATGGGCTTAAGTATTTCAACATATATATTGAGAAAACTACAAAGTAACTTGTTGCAGAAAGCTGCAAACACACGATGATGTTGTATGTGAGCTATTACGAGAATTAATAAGTGATTTCTTGATTATATCCAAATGATTCAGTTACGAGTTTCAGCTGACGTTGCGTCCATACTTCTGCGCTCAGCTGATGACTTCAGAAATACCAAATATGCCAAGTTTGCTGTTTTCCCCATTGAAGAAAGAACAATAACGGTTTGAAGAGTTCGTTATCATAGCATCCCGTTTGTGCTGCAGAAATTGGAAATGTTCGACTTGGTCTTCGAAGGAACCATCACGAGAGATTTGGAAGATGTTGTACCGTTTTCAAAGATAATGGAAACCATCTCATCAAAAAAACTTTTCCCAGTTTCGCTTGTTATCTCTACATTACGTAAATTGCTTATCAGCAATCCTTTCAACCTCAACGATTTATCTTTGCCACACAATGTGAGCTGATTGATGAAACACTGCTCACATGAAGTATCTTCATTACAGCCTTTATACTTATCCAATGGAGATATTTCTGTCTTGAAACAGACTTCACTTGCTCATATTAGGAGACGAAGAGTCGTTGTTAGATTTTGGAAACACTTACAAGCTCTTCGAAAAGGAGTTTACAATAAGGTTCATATTAGAATATCCAATAATCAGCCGAATGCTTCATATCTGTTTATGCCTTGGACGTAAGTTCGACTGAAACATATGAATTGAAAATGTGTTTTTAGGTCCCAAACAGCGTTCATTGAACACGTGAGGAACTGCCAGGGAATAGTACTTGGGCCAACTCAAAAGATCGTCCTTATACACGAATGTTCGAATACGAGTATAACTTGTTTCGCAGAGTAAGTGAGACTGAATCTCATAAGATATACACGATAGATTAAAGATCTATAATAATATGGAAATGCCAAAACATCCAGGTGTTCTTAGCGGCGAAACAATCAGTTATTATTAGGGAAAGTGAGAACATCAAACTCGCTCCCTACAATGTTACGTACACTGTGAGGATTTGTTATCAGTTTGATCAAATATGAACGAAAGCTTTCAGGAATTTCGAGAACAAGTCAATTATGCTGGTATGAGTATGGAGATGATCGGCAATTTCAAAAATATCAAACCAATTTTGGTAAGCTGATCTGCTTGTCAAAGCTTACCAAAGATTATAGTTGGATGAATCATCATGGCAAAGAATCGAGCCTTCGAATTACTATATACAACCAGTTCCGTTTGAAAGGAAAGAGGAAGATGCCAAGGTAACTTCAGTCGCCCTTATGCTTCTCTGATGAACTCGTTTAGCTTCTCTTGACAGTAATTCCGGAATGTTATAGGACAGCTTGGAAAGAATTTTTGGATACGGCAGATCGGAGCAAAGCCAAAGAGTATAAACTACCGAAAAGGGATGCTTTATATTTGAGATCAAAAATCGCAACAAGGGATGATATACAAGTCAAAACTTGAAGTGTACGAAGAGACCTACTGGAGTTCAAAGCAACCTTTCTGCAGCGACGCACATTTCGAAATAAGATGATGAAATGACGCTCATACATACCTTTGCCACGCGTACACTCTATGCTAATGTTATTTGGAAATGTTGAATGACATTATAAAACTTAGTTTATTACTTAAAGATTTATGTGTGTAATGATAACAAAATCTCAATTAAACATCTTTACAAATCATACAGCCAAAAAGGACAAAGTTCTTCAGATATACTTTACAAAGATGAATATAAAAGATTGAAACCAGCTCCTATCCTCTGAATGTGTTGTAAGGCTATAACTCATATAATGTATTGCGGGTTCACTATTTTCGTCTTACTGTAGTAAACATGTACGCAACGAAAACTATTGGATCAATGCCAACATTCGAATAATAGCAGAATGAAGGAGATATCCGTTTATTTCTGTAAATTTTCATATTTTCATGTTTTATTTTATTTTTGTGAATTACGAATAATTTGAATATTGTTTTTTGCAATTAGATGGCTCGTATGAACTCAAATCCGTCCAATCTCCATTGTTTTCGTTATATATGTCAACTACTATTTGTTTTACAGCAAAAAATGTCTGATGAAGATCCGTTAGTTAACGGGGAGAAGTTATCCTCGTTAAGAGTTGTAGACTTGAAGTCTGAATTAGAGAAGAGAGGGCTATCTAAAATGGGTAATAAGAGTGCTTTAGCCGAGCGTTTGAAAGAAGTAAACTCAAATATTTTGCATATTTTCATAAAACTAGTTTTAGTTTTTATTAAATGGTCAAGGAACACCTGCTGGTACTCCTGTTAAGGACCCCGCAAAAACTCCTGTCGTAGAAAACCCAATGGTTGCAGCGTATAGAGCAAAGCAAAGAGCATTGCTCGAAGGAAGTAAGTTTTTTTTTTCGTTCAACCATAATCAACCTATCAAGAATGTCCATCTCGATCATCTAGTACGGAAGCAAACTCTCCAGCCAGTTCTCCTCAGAAAAATACGTCAGCGTCAGAGGTTTTTTCTTTAGTGTTAGAGTATGTGATACGCTTTTGTTCAGTCACCATGCAAACAGGATGCTATTGTCAAAGAAGAGGAGGTGTCGTTCAGAGACATTAAGCCTGCTCTAGTGCGTGATGATGGACATAGTGATAACGATGAAGCTTCTAAGCGAGTTTTTGTAACAGAGAGTACTGAAACTGACAAGGCCAGAAACGACTCTGATGATGAAGAATTTATTATTAAAGAAGGCTCGGAGGGAGATCCAAATCCCAATGTTATTTTACAAAAGCCTGGGGTTGATAATACGTATGATCATAATGTAGAGGAAGTAGGCAAAAATTCACCTAGCGTTAATGAAAATTCAAATACTGAACCAGATGAAAGTACTTTGGAAGGAAAAGTAGGGTTGAATTTCCGTTTTTCTTATCTTTTATTGTTATTGCAGCCTTCGAACTCATCTACCTCTGAGAGCGCGTCACCATCTCAAAGTAAATCTAATTCACCTGGCAAGAAATCGCCATCTCCTCCTCCCAGAGAGGAAAAACCTCACACCATCAGAGATAATGATGAGGAATTAGTGAAGCCTAGTGTTAACGAAGAACCTGAATCCGAACCGGAAAAGTCACCGGAACCGGCAGTTCAGGATGAACCTATGTCTGATCCTGAACCTGAAAAGAAGAAAGTGCCGGAACGCGAACCTGAGCCAGAACCTGAGCGTGAAGTTCAACCAGAGCCAGTAGCTGAACCGGAACCGGAACCGGAGCAACCAGCTGTATCAATACCGTATGTTCTTTCTTAGCTTAATATTTCTATATTTATGTTTGCAGTGTTGCTTCTGAAAAGTCAGGAAAGGAAAAACCCACCAAAGGTAACTTTTGCAACATATCATTTTAATTTTGTTTGTTTTCAAGTTTACAAAGAAGAGAGAGCGGACGAAGAGCTAGAGTTGGATTATGGTGATGAAGTAGAAGAAGATAAAGATAAAGACGATCAAGGAAGTAATGAGTCAAGAACTAAAAGAGAGAGTATTCAAGCCCCTGCTCAAAGTTCGGATTCCTCATCTAATAAACCCCCTTCGAGGTTTGGTTCATCCTACTTCCCCATTTCCGGATCATTGACTTTTGAAGGAATCCCGTTTCTGCCATTTTACATATCAGAGGATTGGTGCGACCTTTCACAGATCGTCAGCTCAAAACTGAGATTTGCCAGCATGGAGGTGAGATAGTTGACTTTTGGATTGATAAGATTAAAAGTCACTGTTTCATAAAGGTAAACTTCATTTTTTTCGAGAGATATATAAGCTTTTGAATTACAGATGGCAAGTTCTGAACAGGCTAATGCGGTCAGGGAGATTATGCATGAGACAACATGGCCACAATCTAGTCCAAAGCTGTTGTCAGTTCAATTTGACACGGACGATAATGTATAGTAATCCTTTCAATATTAGTTACCTATTGAATTTCTAGATGAAACGACATAAATCTGGTGGATCAGATGAGAGTGCTGGTGCGGTGTCAAGGAGCACATCCATAGATGTTAAAGATCGCGAAAGACATGTGATTGGTTCTCTCCCTGGACGTAACGGAAGTCTTCGTGTTACAGTAAGTCTTAGTTTGATCATCTTTGAGAATTGTTTCCGTTAAGGTGGAAGCTGCTATTCGTGATAATCAGAAGAGAGATAATGAAATCAAGGAGAGACAAGGTAGGGAAACGAAAGTTAGAGACGAAGAGAAGAAGAGGTCAGAGGTAAGTGTTTCTTCATCAGTTTGTATTAGTCATATTCCTTATCTGAAGAAAAAAACAGATGATCATGAAAATGAGCGTAAAAGAAGATATAGCCATGGCTCACCTCATAGAGATGCTGTTGAGAAGAAGTTGCCCAGATCTGAAAAAGAAGATGTGCCCGCCAAAACTGCAGATTCTTTGTTCATGAAGACCAAAGCCAAACCCGAAATCTATTATATGCCATTGACGGAAGAAGAGGTATAGTTGAGATTGTGTAATAAGCGAATGAACGTGTGTGTGTCTATAGGCGAAGATCAGAAAACAAAAGAGGGAGGAAGGAAGACAGCGACGCGATTCTGATAGGGAAAGGAGACGCCGTTAAATATTGTTTAAATTATATGAACACAGCGGTAAACTTGTTTTTTTTCTGGAACTGTTAAAATATGTTTATAAGCCGTTATCATCAAATGTCATTTTCCAATTATGAAATCTTCCACTTTTATATTATAGTTTCAATCTCATGTAATGCCCTCATTGATCTTTACCCTTTCGTTGAACACAATTTTCTGGAATCATTTATTGTTGATTCTATTACGACTTAATAAAGATCTAAATATAAACTCTCTATTCATCCTCCTCTTCCTCAGGGTTATATTCCGGATCTTCCTTTGCTGCTCTTTCCTTCAACTTCTTCTCCTTCTCCATCGCTTTCTGCACTTCAACTTTATGTGACTTTTGATGAAAAACGAATGAAAGAGCGCCACAGTCAAAGACTGATCTCAAAACAGGATCAGGCAACTGAAATTTTCAATTTGAATAGTCAGATGATAAAGAATTGACTGTTTCAAACCTTCCTGGGATCTTTTTGACTGTGGTGCCATAATGATAAATCTGCTGAACAATCTGTGTCCTCTGGAGGATCTATACTCTCTACTCCATTTATGCAACGTTTGCATTTCAATCTAGATAACTATGTCTTCAGGCGCATGACATGATATTACCTCTCATGAGTATCTGATGCTACGTTACTTTCTAATTTGAACAATTCCTTCAACTGATCAGAGCTGAAATGTCTAGCGACATCTTCTCCGGCATCAATGATACATGATGATAAAGCCTAAGATAGAAACACTTGGTGTCATGATGACGGTTCCATTTTAAACCTTTTTATGCGTTTGCCGTTGGAACATCTTCTCTTCGATAGAACCTGTCTGAATCACAACTTTCCATATTTCGATTCTTAAACCTTAACTTACGGACAATAAACGATAGATGAAGCATGTTTTTTTCTGTCCGTCTCTCCAAACTCTTGCCATGGCTTGGTCGTCATTGGCTGGATTCCAGTCAGGATCGAACATAACAAGCCTTTTTGTGCGAAGTAGTCAAGTAGTTTTTGTGTTCTAAATGATACCTGTTGGCTCCGATGAGATTCAAACCACATCCTCCTGCTTTACTGGAGAGTAAGAAACAGAACTCTGTACTCTGAAATTGCAGCTTCAAGAACCGTCAACGAAGACTTTTAAACCTCGGGGTCATTGAAACGGTCAACAATTTGTCCTCTCTTCTTGATTGACATAGAACCATCTAATCGGACATAGCCGTACCCACGTAGTCGACAAAGCTAGAAACAAGAAGGTTCCATGTATGGATCAACTTCATCAAACCTCAACGAACTGGTCCATAGTTTGAGTGTAATTAGAGATTAGAACAAACTTATCAGTAGTTGTTTTCCGTGTCACTGCGAGTATATAATCCAAAACCTAAGATTATAGATATACAAGTTAGTTTTGAATTCCATTTCACTTCATTACTTTCATTTTCCCCGAGAACACAGGATCGCATTTCTTGGTTCCGAACGAAGAAGGAAACATCGAACGTGTTTCTGAATAACTGATGATTCAGAAGTTGTTTTGACTGAACCAAACCTTTGAAACGATTTGTATCCTTTTGCACTTCCTCATAGATGAGATATGGATGATTACAAAGCTTCTTTAAGTGAGTGATGAAAGAAAGAGCAGAAGCTCCCCCTTCACTATCTCTTTCTTTATTTTCTTTGGATCGCAATCGTTTTTCGATTTCGATCAACTTATTGTACAGTTGGTCTTGTAGTTCGGTATTTTTACAGCAAATGATGAACTCGTATTTAAGCTTCAAGCATAACCGTTAGTTTGTAAAGCCATTCTTACATACCGGCAAGTATTTGGTTAAGAGAGCACTTGTCCGGCGAATTATGCACTTTTCCACAAGTGAAACCATTTCCTTTGTTTTTTCTTCACCAAGTTTTTGCTGTACATCCGTAGCACTTCCATCTCTTCCTCTATCGATCAAAACCATATTACCCATTGCAATTAACTTCGAACCTCAGAATAGGATTCTCAAAGCGTTTTTTGAATTCTTGTGCTGAGCCCAGCAGACCAGGATTGACGAAGTTAACCAGACTGAAAGACAGGGGGAGTGAAAACGTATTAAGATGAAAGATGGGAATATAAACCTGTAATATTCTAAAAGATCATTCTGAATCGGTGTTCCGGAGATCAATACTCTTCTTACACATTTCATACCACTTAAAGCTTGATAAGTCAAATTGTCGCTATTTTTCAACCTATGCCCCTTGAAGATGGAAATTTGATCTAGAAGTTGATCCACTTCGTGCATACCTCATCACATATAACCATTCCAATGTTGGAAGAATGCAAGATGTCGGCATATAAGCGAAAAGTCTCGTAAGAGATCACCAAAACTGGACTGCCAGCCCTTATCCTGGCGTCGGCCATATATGCAGCTGAAAATCATCGATAAAAGAAGATCGATTGGTCTCTCCTTACTTAAAGATTTTATAATATCTTCTTTCTTGCCACCATCCATAGCTAATACATTTAATCGTGATCCCAACCACTTTTTAATTTCTTTATCCCAATTCTTTACTAAACTACTTGGGCACACTATTACAATCTTGGAGCATGTGGGTTTGCATTCAGGGCTCTGACGGATTAATGTCCATAAAAGGGTAATGCATTGCAACGTTTTTCCCAAACCCATTTCGTCGGCCATGATGCATCCGTGGAAGCTAAATAATCAATTGATATAAGCTATTCTATTCATCACTAACTCTTGAATGTTTACACCTGTCACACAATCATACATAAACTTTACACCATCCCTCTGATGAGGTCGAAGTATGCCTCCGACCACGGGATCCACAACAACATGCACCTGAAAATCAATTAAATTTTTTTAAATTACGCATTCGCTCCAACCAATTTATCCTCTTTCTTAGCATGTAACTCCTCATGGGCTGTCATAGGAGGAGGCACAAAGAGGACAACAGCATTTTCTGCATATGGATCGAAAAGGGCTACCCGAACTTTACTCTTCCCCAAGCCTAATGCTCGTCCAGAATCTGAAAACACTCGGCAGTTTTCAGATTAACACGTTATCCCGTATTTACATGCATAGCCTGACACGGGAAGAACGAATGCTTTTGATAGAAGTTTTGTGATAATTGCATCATGCGATTCACTCTGAATGTTCCTTCTTTCTGTTTTCATAACTCTACACTCTCACACACCTCTTTGAACCATGTTTCAGTTATAATCCTCACATGCTTGAAACGTAAGGGATCCATCAATTCTTCTCGAGATGCTTCGAAAGGACAGACAAACTAGAATATGCATAATCATGAATGATATTACTAAATTCAAAAACCTCTTTAGCTTTTCGTTTTCGTCTACCATTTTTCTCTTCATTCTCTTTCTCTTTGACAATAGGACTTCGAAATTGAACATGTAGTTTAGGACTTGGAGTAGGTTTATTTGACAAGCCGATAGTACCACCTTCGCTTTTTCTTTTTAGCATAATATATGTATATTTATATATTTAATCAATCATCAACTATAGAATTTGAGCTTGATGATTTCAAATCGCCTACAGCGTATTGATTATTTAAATCGTTTTCACTCCCGCCATTTTCTGCGAATCAGATTACGGTGTTTTAGAGCGAATGACGTCACACTCTCATTCTGACTCGTCTGAATGAGATGTAGCGGTTGTTCTTCATTTTTCGTGCTTTTCATGTTATTCTGTTTGCTTTCTTTATTTTGTATTCGTTACAAGAACAATTTTGTTCAGATGAGTGGACCAATCGCTACGCAACGTATTCCAACTAAGCGTCAAACTTTGGATGAAGCTTATGCCCCACCTGCCAATTTTTTGGAAATCGAAGTTGTTAATCCGATAACTCATGGCGTTGGCAAAACAAGATACACTGATTATGAAATTCGAATGAGAGTTGGTTTTGTTGTTGCTTTTTTTGTATAATTTTGTTCTTTTTAGTCTAACCTTCCTGTTTTCAAGCAGAAAGAATCTACTGTACGCCGTCGTTATAGTGATTTCGAATGGCTCAGAGGGGAACTTGAGCGAGACAGCAAGGTAACTATTGATTAGTCAGTCATAATCAGACATGCCTCTATTAGATTGTTGTTCCACCTTTGCCCGGAAAGTCATTGAAACGTCAAATGCCTTTCCGATCTGACGATGGTATTTTCGAAGAAGAGTTTATCGAAAGAAGAAGAAAAGCGCTTGAAGTTTTTATTAACAAGTAAATTGAAAGTGTAGCAGCATCGATCTATTTATTCAATTTCAGAGTAGCTGGCCATCCACTTGCCCAGAACGAGCGCTCTTTGCACATTTTCTTGCAAGAACCCATGATTGACAAAAATTATATCCCAGGAAAGATCCGCTCTACATAAGTACTCATTTTTCATCTCTTGCAATGGCTTTTCGTTTTTTTTGACGACATTGTGTTTTGTATTATAGTTTTTCAAACCCCATACTCCCCCATACCATCGTAATTTCAGATTTTAGATTGTAAGAGTACGTACATGCGTTTATCGGTGCTAATTTACATCCTTATTGGCCTATGTTTTAAGTATTAATAACCTTCTATACTGCAAGATTTTGTGAAATTTGTTCAAATACGTGTTCTATTGATGTGATTTCTAGATTCATGAGGTGTTTCATTTTAATTTATTTTTTTAATACAGTTTTATCGTAATTTTTGTCTTTTTAGTTAGCACTCATCATTCAAACACAAACAGAATGTCCTCTCCTGGAAGAAATTGAAAAATGATGTGATCAATACAAGCCCATTAACTAATCGAATACGAAAGTAGCTCCAATCTACTGACTGACGAATCAAACAATGAAAACGAAAATCACGAGTGCCAACGAATGTAAGTTGATATTTTCATGTGGGTTCAAGATATTAGTATTACCTTCTGAGGTTAGAAGAGAGAGGGGACGACGGGTTGGTTCAAAATACGGATGGTTGTTTTTAGTCCCTGTATGCTTAAGACAGTATTTGCGTTGTATCAAAACATTTGATGCGGTTGATGAGAAAAGCTTTCGCTTCGCCTTTGTTTCCTCCTGCGAGAAGCTGTTCTATCTTCTCCAATCTTCACCCTGTACTCAATGACCGTGTTTGCATTTTAGTCTTTGAGATTTGTATTTATGAGTGCTTCTCTAGAAGCTCGTCCAATTTCTTCCATCTTTGTCCTCTGTAACATGATGATCTAGGTCGATGGTTCGTTCTGATAGTTCTATGATATTCAACGAATTTCTCAAATTGTAATGGTCAAGTATTATCAATGACGTATCATCACTACATCAACGCTCTCATAATATATCCCCCCACCCTAAAAAAACTTTTTAATTAGGGGTAATTGACTGGAAAGGTTGGATGTGTGTTGTTTGTTTAAGAAAGATTGAAAACTCGTCTTTTAACTTTCCTGAATGCATTTCAATAGGTCTCGATATTAATAGATATACATAATCTTGAATAATGGATAGTGACCTGGGCCAACCACAACCTTGTGTGTTAAGTTGTCCATTGATTTATCGCTATAGTCTAGTCCGTCTTCCTTATTACCCTGGAGTTTGAGCGTCTTTGCCTTGTCTGTTCCATTATCATTATATGTCGTCTGATGGTCACTTCCTTTCACAATGAGAAGTGTATTAGATACTTGCAGACACAATTAGCAATTCGTTCACATTTGATTTTCTAAGCCTTTGCATGTATATTCAAATTTCATTAGTATCAGTCTCTTCCGAATAGTTAAACTAGTCTCTATCGTCTTATCACCCCAGTTGTAGCTTTATCATGAACTGACTATTCCTTTATATCCTCTCACATTCTATTTATATCAATATCCAGCATTACTATAAGTATTATCATCCTGATACTTCTTTTTTTTTCTTTTTTTTTTCATCTCATCACAACCTCATATGGCGGATATTTGTGATTGTGTATCCTCTTACGATGATGTCAGTGTTTGTTGATTCTTTTTAAAGCATTGATAAATGGAGGATCGGTCCGGTCCAGCCGAAGAAGCATGCTTCTGCGAATGGCCACAAAAAATCTGACGTATGATGCATTAGTTCCGGTAATAGTGTTTACTAAGCTTCCAAGCTTATACTTCACCAGAAAAGGAGTTTATTTTAAAATGTTTCCGATTCTACAACACATGCTACTCATAGATAGGGAGAGATAGAGATAGAGAGAGAAAGAGAGAGAGGGATGTAAAAATAAAAATTTTTTCGAATATTCATGAAACCATCTAAGATGGCTAATGTGAGAAGTGTCACAAATGGAAGTTATTCAATATATGTAGACTCGCAGATCGGTTGAATCGCTTATGTAAACGTATAGTACAGAGCTTACACTCTCATTACTAAAGCAATTAATTATTGTTTTGTCCTTTTTTTCCTTCTTATCATTAGGAAAGTTTTTGTTCAACCAAACACTGCGGTACATACGTTTGAGTACTTACAGTTTCTTCAATGTTACTCAAAAGCTTCCGTTTCACTTATTGTTTCCATTTTCTCACAAATCGAAAGCATTGCCGTGCTCTGTGCCGACACGCCGTCTCTCATTTTCTCTTTTTTTTTCTGCCTCACATTTCTCCTTATTTCTCTTTTTACACGTTTCGCTCCTTCTCTTTCAAATTGGCAACTCCTTAAACTTCTTTTCAACATGAAAGTTGCAGACGTTTTTCTCATCGCATGATCTATGTTTCAAATGAGGTGAAAACGGCTGATCTTTACTTTAGCCATCAATGACCACGTCTGGCAATTGGTATTTTGATTCGTTCAAGTATATAGAGAGAGAGAGATGTTTTGGTCAGTGATTGTTGACCTCCCAACCTCTCTCTCGCACATTTTTTTTGTTGTCTTCGCCTACTTCGACATTATTATTTCTTTACTCTTAATAATACATTATTTATATAGTTTTATCTTTTGATTCGTTATTACAATAGCAGAATATCTTCGTGTTTTGGTGCTTTTTCGCTCTTTTTTTCTTGTTCATTTCCTCTCCGTTCGACACTCTCTCTATTGCTCCTTCAGTGGTTCTTCTCCAATGTGTTTCATCTTCTTCTTCATCTTCTTGTAAATTCGCCCAATGTTTCCGGCTGTTAGCCTTTGAGTGTCACATGTGCTCATCGACTTTCATCAGTTTTCATATCTTTTTTCGTCTTGTTGTTTTTGTGTTGTCTGTGCGTATGTATGTGCTTCCTCAATCATCCATATCCCCAGTCAGTTTTTACTTAACACGAAAAACAAACTCACTGTTAGCTCATGCAACTGCGTTTTTGGATGAATGTTGTTTCAATATGGAACTGCACAAGCTTCAGTTTTCTTTTCTTTACATTCTCATCATCATCATCATGTGCACTGAAACTAAAATCAGATTTCTATCTCTATGCGTCGTCATTTGGCCAGTCCGTTAGCATAGCGAGGCAGTAAACTGAATTGAAACTCCATTAATTATATTTCTAAACATGCTTTACGTCGTTCAATCTATTCAACTCATCTTATAGTATACGTGTGTGTATGGACTAGTGTGAGCTGAGTGAACCTTGTATACCAGCACATAGAGAACCCTTTTTGATTTTATGCGTTATAAAAACAGCACCTACTTGTGCAACCTGTTCAAAACATAGTTTGTGCTTTGCAGTCGTTTTTATCTTCTTTTCAAATCTTCAGCAAAAAATATGTGTGTGTATGTATGTATGTGTGTATGATGAGAAGGTTAAGATTGTCGTCCGAAACGACGATGACAGACTATTTCCTCAATTTCGTCGTCATCGTCGACGACTAGCGAGAACTGAGAACAGATTCAACATACATATGTGTAAATAGAGATTGTGTGTTATAAAAAAAACTATCTTTTACAAATAATGTTAAAGGGGAGAGTTCAAAATTGCAATTTTTCAATTTGAAAAGCAAGGTGGCGCCAGATGTGTCCGTCGTCGTCATTGTCCACACTGTTCTAAAAATAAGTAATTATCATGTGCAGAAGATGGATTTGTATTTCTTGCATGTGCTGGTCATTGTGATCGTCGTCGTCGTCGTCGTCGCTCATCTTCTTTCATTTCTTCTCTTTCATTGTATTTTTGTGTTTTTCTCAGTCTTTCCGTCTATGTGTTCGGCTTGTTTGTTATCTGTAAGTGACAATAACTGTATGATTATCTGATTAACCGCAGTGTTGTACTTGTTCAGCTTACTTGAATAAGCTTAAACGAAATGAAACTCGTATCATCCCATCGCTTTGTCCCTCTCTCTCTCTCTCTCTCTCTCTCTCTCTCTCTCTCTCTCTCTCTCTGTAGTCTGAACTTGTACGCCACACTCGTTCTCATCTATTTACATCAAAATAATCAGAAAAACGTATGAGAAATTGCTTCGGCGAAATGTTTTGCTTCAACCACGACTTCCCCCGTTCATTTTTTTGTGAAACAAATTGTTGTCGTCTTATACATGCTACACTGATGTTTATAACGGCGAGCACATACATAACACACATAGACACACATATGCACAGAAACGTTTCTTGTTAATCGGCTGAAGAGCTAATGCTGGCAAGAGAGACAGAACATGCTGATGATGAGCTCATCTGAGTATTGAGTAGCTTTCTTGATAAATCCAATAGACTTGCTAATTAGATAAGTTGCCCCACAAGCTGCTATATATGTCAAACAAATTCCAGTCATAACGTCAAAGACGATAATGACATGATAATTACTGACTAATGGACAGTTCAAATGCTTTTACGAACATATTTGCTTGGACAACCATCTTCATTTACTTTAAACCATACTCTCAACATTGGCATTGGGTCAGATTGTTCATTGGAGCATAATAGAAAGAGACTTGTTCATCTCTCTCACTCTCACTTGTGTTGTAAGCTGCTCACCTCTTCATATAATGAGTTGTGTGTGTGTGTTTTGCTTCATCACCTCCTTTTAACTATCATCATCATCATCTTCGGTTATTTGAACTAATTGACCGTATAAAAGAGATTATTTCAATATCTTTTTTGTGTTTTTCTTTCTTTTCTTTTCCTCGTCACATTCATCACTATCATTACTAATTATTTGTTTTCTCATTTGTCTTCATTACGTAAAATAATTGATCTGAGGTAACGAAACGTTTTTGATATTTATCTTTTGGCAATTTCTTTGCTTCTTCATCTTCTTCTCCTCCTTCCTCTATCTCTCACAAACGTTTCTTACATTCGCACAGACACATTTCATTCCAATAGACCGATTGAAACCCCCCCCCCCCCTCTCTCTTCCTTCCTCTCCTCTATACTTATTCTCTTTCAGTTTTTGCATTTCATAAGCTTTTTTAGCCAGGAAAACGTATTCTCATATCATCTTCGATTAATCTCATTAGCGCACTATGCAACATCACCCACTCCAATTCTCATTCTCATTTACCTGCGCTTTGTAATTTTTGCTATTTTTGTTAATCTGCTCTGCTTCGCGCACATATCTTATGCTAATTTACGTGTTTGAACTCAGCTTTACGTCATTTCCTCGTCTGCGAACGCACGGAACGGTTGCTATTTGATTTCTACCCTCCCCAATGTGCATGTTTCTTGATTCATTTAATCTTTTCAGCTTCAAATGCTCATGTGTAGGCTGAAATTAAGATTTCTCAATATGTGTCGTTGCTTGCGGACGTGCATGCGTCAAGCTTGAACTTCATCATTATTGAATTATCATAATCATTATCAAGTTATCATGAATTCAATTAGTGACCCTTCAAACGCAACATGAGCATGTACGTGTGTGTACATGAGCATGTGTGTGTGAACGTGTGTGTGTACGTGTGTTCATGTATATGCCTGTGTGTATGTGTGTGTCTAAGAGTTTGTTTGTATGTAGTGCTGGCTAGCTTTTTTTTTTCTTTTCATATGTCCATCCTGTAACGTTTCTTCATCGGAGCGATAAACATCAGTTGGCTTTTGCTTTGAAGAGAGATGGTATCGTTGGTGAAGAATCATTTGGACTGTCCGCGTTTGAATAGAAGCTGAAGCGAATTTTCTTGTTTTGTTTGATGAAAATCTACCATTTCTTGAACACTCGTTTTAACTTTCCTCATTCAATGATGATGCAAAGTAAATACAGATGACTAACATAGAATGACTCTTAATGCGTTCAAAAAATAATTTTTTGAAGAAGTTGTCGTCCGTAGTAACGAGAAGGTGACGTCAAGAGGACTTTCTCCTTTCTCTCATCGTCTTCGTCTCTTCCATTGTCCATTCAAAATGATGACAACCTAATTTTAATTCCACTTGAACTAGATTTCAGAATATTCTAATCAATCTCACTTCCTTCCTCTTCCTGTCTCTCTTTCTCTTCATTGTTTCATTCATAGCAATCTCTCTCTCTCTCTCTCATGCATTGCCATGTTTCAGGAACATGCTAATTGAGGATTCGTGTGCCTTGAGTTGTAGTAGTAGTAGTTCAGCAATCAGTGTATCAGATACAACTACCTCATCATCCGTTTCTCCTGAATGTAATTTACTCTCAATAGTAGATGAAGCAACAGATTTCTTACCGTCAAACTCATGCTCCATATTGGATTTGGATGATAATGCTAATCAGGTTTATCTCTCTCTCACTCTCTCTTCATTCATTCTCATTACTCATTCATATAGATTGTTATAAGAAAAAACATAAAAGTGCCACAACGATCTCTCAAAAGGTTATTGTCCAAGATGCGTATTAGGTATGTTGTCCATACAACCATCTTCTGCTCATACTAATCTTCCATATTTAGAAGCAAACACAAGGAACATTACATGAAGCAGACCTCTTCTTCATCCACATTCAGCAGTCTGATGGCGGAAAATGACTTACCGTATGTTTCATCAGCTTTCATACTTTTATATGATAAATTATGTGAACTCAAAAAAAACTTTTTTCCAATTCTCCATCCTCATTGCACTTGCCTTAACTGCCTGTCTCCAGTGACCTTCTCACTGCCTTTCCAGCTCTCTATTCATCTCCCTACTTCCAATTCATTGATAAGCTCTTATCAATTATGGTTAGAGAGAGAGGAGTGGGAAGCAGAATGATTTTTTCTTTTCTGATTAGTTATGCCTAATGGTTAACAAACCCCATTTCATTTTCTTTCCTTTTTCAACCAAAATCATTGCACAAGAAAGCTTTTTTTCAGTTAATTTATGCTTATTCGGCCTTTTTTTTGTTGGTAAAGTTGCGCATCAATTCTAATGAGTTCGCACTTCCAATATTGGAATCTCTATTTGACTAATCTGCCCTCCTATTCTCTTCTCTCCATGGACTCTCTTCTCTCTCTCTCTCCCTCTCTCTCTCTTTCACAATCATTGTTTCTCTCTCTTCCTTTCTCTCTCACCTTTCAAAATTCCCTTTCCATATTATAATTTACATGACAGTCTCTGTCTACTCAAACAAACTGTAACACTCATCTCTTGTGCACAATACGCCATTGCCATATAAGGACTGTAGCTCATCACATCACACAGCAGACAGTTTGACGTTCGCATCTTCTCAGACCTTTAATTTGTCTTCAAAATTATAAATGATGACGTACATTGGATGGATGTGATATGAGTTGTGAGGATTGTGTCATCTTCCGTCAAACTAAATATGAAGATTTCCTAACAATCAGGTTTTTAATTTAATTTTCTTCTTTCCGTTCTCACTCATTGACTTACTCATAATTCGTTCTCTTACTTAACTAAATGATCATGCCTTATACATGACATAGAGACAAAGAAAGCAATCTACACAGACCAAGCTGAGAGAGAAACACAGAGAGAGTGAGAGAGAGAGTGAGAGTGAGTTAGAGAGAGAAAATGAAAGAGGAAGGATGTGATGGAGAGATTTGTCAACTTTTCCTTCTCACAGTCACACATTTATTAGCCGAAAACTTATTGGTCGATGTGTATCTCACCGTTCGCACGTTACTTATGGGACGACGGTGAGGCTTCTCAGTCATCATCATCTTTCCTTCCAACATTTTATTCACTTTTTATGATATTTTGTTGCTACCTTCAATCTTCTGTTCTAACACATATTAATCTACGATCTGTCGGTATTCGGTATTCGCTTCTGTCTTATCACTATGATTGAAGCTGATGCTCTTAGCCGATCTAACAGCTTGAAGTCTGTTGAAGATATTCAGCCAACTGCTAATGACACGCAATCCTCACAACAATCCAAATGCTTGAAAAAATCTTTTGGGAAATCAACGCTCAGTAGTTTTAGGCGAACAGCCAGCCTAAGAATCTCCTCGGCCTCTAGACGTCTGAAATCAAACTTTTCTATAAGAAGTTCCAAAACTAATCAGAAGGATGCATTGAGCCCCAAGTGGCACAATGGCCTCGCCAAAGCCAACTCAATGCGATCGCACTTGGTTCCATCGCACTCTTTCACAGCCTCAGGGCGACCCTCAATAGATGCCAGTTTATCCATCAATTCCATGGATTCGCATAATCTTCATTCATCAACAAGCTCATCATCAAGAGCCAACTCGTTCCGAAGCTTAGAACATACGCTCATGTCTTCTGAAGATGATATCAAGCCATTGCAAGTATCCAGCCGTTTCAAACGCTTACGTCGAAGTTTGAGTACGAAAATACGTAGAAGCGGACGAAATGTCTTACGTCGTACAACTTCTTTTGTTGTTCGCAGAAAGTAAGTTGAATGTAGGCATCAAAAAAATACGACAAAAAGCTTTGTGAATGTCTTCTTCTGAGTAAGTTGAAGATCATTCTCTGTCTTTCTACCTCTCTCTATGCTCTTACACACTCTCTCTATCTCTCTCAGAACCTTTTTCTCCTTTTTTTTCAAATATCAACAAATCAACGGTCGTTTCCATTGTATTGCTTAAGCCATAAAAGTTCAAGCTCTATATATCAAGAGCAACGAACAGCAACTGTGCTCTGATTGTGTTTTTGTGAACAAACTCGAATTGTGGTTGCGTGCAAGCCATTTCGGACACAACGAAGCTCGAAACTCATTTGAAAGTTCTATTTTGTGATATTTCGTATTGCATTCTATCAATTTTATCTATTTTACCATATAAAAAATGATATAATTTACCGTATTTGATCTGCTACTTCAGATCATTGAGTGTTATCATTGAAATATTGAAATCGTTATCTCTGTTCAAGATCTTTCGCCATATATAGCGTGTCTTGTTTGGATGTAGTTGTTTTCATATTCAATATTCAAATTTAACCAATAACCTCATTGAAATTATTGTTTTCACGTAAAAACGTGACTATCCGTTTTTATTTTCAATTTGATAAACGTGCCGACCGGTTGCTTAATTCTCACTATCTCTCTATGTGTCAGCTATAACCGAATTGGCTGAACATGAACGCTTGTTTTCCGAATATGTCAACTTCCGCTACTGTTTCGCTATCAAGATTAGCGGAGTAGTAGCCTTTGCCTTATCTTTTTTTGTTTGTTTTAATTTTAGTTCTTTCATGCAACGCCTAACGTTCCACCTATCTGATTGAACTCTCTCATTCTATTCAGAATGATGTGGTTGTTTTTGCTTTATCGACTGAATATTTAACCCTCTCTTCCAATTCATTTTTCGTTATATTTCATTTCAATTTTGAAGTTGACAGAGCTAGTGTCTCCAAAAATGGTTAAAAAGCTGTCAAGACCTAATCGTCTTGGCTTTGATGAACGCATGGTTATGTCTGACGATGAGTCGAACTATGTACGAATGCGGAAGTATGCCATTTTCATTTCTTTCTCTTAACCCTTTTTGGATGTCCATGTTTTCATTTTTCTGTCCTTACCAAAGAGAGTCAGTCCTGAATGAGAATGTTTACCTCAGTTTGTCCTAAGTATCGTCACAGCTTCAACCTAACCTTCATGCTATTCGGTGTTTTGTGATTTTTGAAGTTCCTCCTTGTTACAGGACCATCTCATCTGATGCTCTTTTGCATGAACATGATAATCAAGCAAATAGTGCTTCATTTCCTACTGATTCTCTCCGTCCATCATCTGAGTATCGAGTACCAGGCTCTATCAGCAGTAACTCGAGCGCCGATAAAAAGTTGTAAGAATCTCGTTCTTGTCCGAATTGTCAACTTCGCTTTGATATCTGCAAATTTTGCAAAAACAAAAAAATTATGAAACATTCTGTTTCAATCGCTTATCCATTCCAATGACTTGCTTGTTTCAGAGATGAAGAAGCTCCTTTCTTATCGAAGAAGAAGAAGTACTTCACTGAACGCAACAGAAATATCTTCCGTAAACTCTTACATCCTAGTTATCAGGAAAGGAATGTTCAGTACCGTCGGCTGTTTGGTCATTTAGTTTCTGATACGGATCTGTTTCTCATCTGTAAGTTTTCCTTTTTCCCTCACTCTCTCTCTCTCCCAATCCCACACAACTTACCGATTACCATATGTAATGAATAACTTCAATTATGTTATTGATTGATTGCATTTGTGAAAAACTGATGACATCATTCTGCTTTTTGATGGCAAAAATAAGTTTTTGCGAATTTCAGCTTTCTCATGTGCCTATCAGCGTGAGATTCTATGCCAGGGTCGGATGTATATTTCTCAAAGACACATCTGCTTTCATGCTAACATCTTTGGCTGGGAGACATGTTTTGCTGTACCATTTGATGAAATCACAAATATGACAAAGGAAAAAGCTGCCTTAATATTTCCCAATTCCATCCAGGTATAACACTCTCAGAGTTCTCTCATTGTTATTCTCTTCATTTATAGTTTGAAACGAAGGGTGGAGAAAAACATTTCTTCGCTTCATTCGGAAATCGGGAAAAGACTGTCACAGCTTTGAGTATGGTTCTAGAGAGGAGGGAGAAGGATCAGGTAAGATTGAACTTTCATTTGACTTTCCTTCAAAGAACGATTGGCGTTGTTGTATTTGAGAAGTGTTCGCAACAATTGACGAACACTTCACGCCAACACTCGTTGTTTCCACGTTTCATTTGGTTTCTTATAGGATATTGCACCGGAAGAAGTCTGGGAACGCCTGAATAGTGACGTAAGTCTGTTGCCCTCTCTTCACATAGAGCTTCTCATCTCTCTTACGTACATTGTGCGCTAAAAATAATGTTCTGCATGTCATTCGAGTATTATAATTGAAGTATGAAGCCCCTAGTCCTCTGTGTCAACGGAAATAGAGAAGCGTGGTTCCTGATGCCATATAGTTAAGCTTTGCATCTGAATCTCGTGCACACTTTCTGGAGGTCTGCTTGCTAGAGGAACCTTTAGGCCTTTCCAGCCACCTATCGATCTGTTCCTTTCGCTTACGCTGCCTTGTTTCTCTACATCTTCATTTAGCAACGCGAATGAGCTCGTTTACTATGCAAATTATAAGCTTTCCTTTGCAAAAGCAATTTGGGAAGACTATAACTAGGTAGTTTCTATTTTTATTAGTTTTTTTGAATATCATATGCGTACAAAATATGCTGCTCGTCTGATTTGATTAAACAAAATGATCTTAAATAGAATTATGTGCACGCAAACCGATTAGCATAAGTTTCCACGTCATTTACACGTCACTCACGTGAAGCACCTTGAATCGTAGATATTTCGAAATGAGCAGTCAAAAGAAACGGTTGATTGTTCTTTGTTTTCTCTGACACATTGCTCGTCTATCACATACTGAGCTCTCATACACGACTGGTTTAAGCACTTTCGCTTTCGCATATCAGCAGTTCGGCCCATATAGTTTATATCATATAATTTACCTTTTTAGTTACTGGACAAACGAATCTTATCATTTCCATATACTATCTAAAGGTTTGATAGCTTCTCTCATTGCCTGTTCGACTCTCTCTCTCAACCTCCTTCCTGGAATGCTTCTCTGTCTCTTACCTTTTTGATTCCCTCTATTTCTGTTTTGATCTTTCTCTCTCTCTCTGTGTTTCTCTCTCTGTCCCTTTCTCAATTGCTCTTCCTCCAAACCTTTCTACAATTCCTGGTTATTTCAATCTATAACATTTGTTGATTTTTGTCATCAATGTTCTGTTGAATCGGGAAAAAATACACATCATACATCGACAGGCTATCTCTCGGTGTTTCGTCCTCTTCCAACACTCTTGATCCTCAATACTGTCTATTAGCGTTTCTTCTCTTTTCATCTTCTGTTTGTAAAGTTCCAGACGAATTATGCACCTAAAGTGCTCATATTCACCATTCCGACCAATTTTCCGAGTGTTAGGTCTTGATTTTTGAAATTTTTTTTTTGTTCACATTCAGCATCCATCATACTGCCATCATATGAACACATTTGCTTTCGCTCACCGTTTTGATTAACCATAATACAGAGTTGAAAATCATTGTTTGACACCCTGTTGAGTTTCCCTGAAATCCATTCTTTCACTATTTCCAACATCTCAATCAATATTTACTTATAAATTCATTTGTTAACGAAGAAAAGGTTTTCCTTCATTTATGGCTTTGTTATTATTGGGACAGGGGGATGGCTAGAGCAGCTGGTTCTCTCCATAGAATGCTTCCATCAAAAGCTAAGAAGTTCCTCTTTTTTTTGTTTGCAAAGTGCACAGCTGAAGCTTTGTGACCGTCACTGACCGAAGCTTGTTTTCATTTGGCTCGCCGAGTATTAAAGGCCATAGAAGGGAAAATTAATTTTTTTTTCATTTTTCTCTTCTGTTGTGTTGATGACAGGTTCATTCTGATTCCTTTCCATGTATGTATGAGGCGGTGGTCTGCGAATAATTTTTAGAAATCTGATAAAATCTAGTTTGCGGTTCGTTGCAAGCGTCATATACTCTCATCACATCTCTTGCTCTGTTGTGCCTGTTAGAAGTCCATTGACCATGTAAGGGTGATTTTCTCACGAATTCACATCACTAACGATAGATCACTTGAGAATAGGTTAAACTGAGAACATACTGCTGCTTGTATGCAATTGCTAATGTAGATAGTTTGATCTTTAGTTAGACACATGGGAACCTTGTATTTACTTTGATTCATAGAGTTAGAAGAACTTCCATGTACGAAGAAGGTTCACTTGCTTATCGTCCCATCTCTTTCTGTTAAGTGAAACCCCAAATGTTTTGTATTCGTTAGACTTGGACTCAACTCCGGTTTTCATTCTTATTTTCATCTCGATGACTGTTCTGCCTTAACTGAATGAGAAGCTTATTCTAAAAACAGTTTTATGTGCCGTTTTAATATTTTATCAGTAGAATAATCACTTATCATTCTCTATCCATGCTACGTATAGTTAACTATATAATTTTATTCAGAAACGCTATCGAGGCAGCAAGTCGAACATTTCAACCCCAGCTTCGCCCATGACCACTACTAGGTTTGTTTTGCTTGCAGAGCTTCTTTTGTATGGTACTGTTATAGCTCCCCCATACCTCCTTTTGTTAGTTCACAGCCGACTTCTCCTGTTCGGGAAGTAGAAGCCCCTGTTCTCGACGAAGAGGTACTGCTGTTCTCTTCGTTCGACACATTCCTCATTCTTATATTTTCAGGAAGTTAATTGTCTGTGTGATGGGCATTACGGAAAAGTACTTCTTGATCAGGCATTCCCACTATCAGTTCTTGAATTACGAGAGCTTGTCTTCAACAACAGCGATTGGTTTTCTCAGTTCAACAAAGTTCTTAAAAACAGTGGTGAGTATATGATAACGTGTTAACATATGGAGCATGGTATTACAGATTACCACTCTTCTGATTGGGCTGTGGATAAGGATGGCCAGTTGAACCGCACTTGTACCTATACAATGGCTCTGAATCATGCTATGGCACCAAAGAGCTGTATTGTAAATGAAAACCAAATTATTCGCAATTTAAATGGCTCCGACGCATCGCAAGGATTTGTAGTTAACAAAGAAACTCAGAACTCAGGAGTACCATATGCTGAGAACTTCACTGTTCGGGTATGAATCTATTCTCACTGAGTACTAACTGAAATGAACTGTCTTTACAGTGTACTTATTGTGTGATGAGAGTCAGTAAGACTTCTTCTCGCCTCTTGATACATGGTGGAATCTTTTATATCAAAAATATATGGGCATTAGTCAAAGGATACATTGAGAAGACGGCTTATCAAGGATTGGAAGACCATTACGCTATGTTGAAGAAAATGCTTGGAGAAGAATGTCAGAGACGTCTTAGTGAAGGACCGAATACAAACACAGTGGAAGATTCGTCTGAGAATGAAAGGTTTGCACTCTATCAGTGATTCATTTAAAAGCCTCTCTTCTAGCCTTTCATCGTCAGTTGAAGATCCAACTACCGATTCACCAACGAAGCAAAGATTCATGAACTCCGTGGACAAGCCTCACAAAAATGAATATACACATGTTCCAAAAGGTTTGTTCGCTTCTTCTTCCTTCACTCAACCTCATTACCTCTGTTTCAGACATTCTAGAGAATACTCGACCTGTTGTTAAAGATTCTGTGATCACATTAGATTATACCTGGCATATTAGGATTATTATTGGATTATTAGCTGGCCTTGTTTTCATACAGCTTCTCGTTCTTGTTCGAATGAATACCATCGGAACGGAATACTCTGATTTGAGATTGGAAATGTCAAAGAGCCATCCAACGTCGATGGAAAGGTAGTCTCGGAAGTTCTCTAATGTTCTCTGAATGTTATTTTCCCACATTACAGAATGGCAAGCTCACCTTCTGAGGCATCTTCAAACGTCATTGAATCGTTAGTGGATACTGTCAATCGACTAACTGCAGATGTTCAAAGATTGAAAGAACGTCAAGAATTATAGAAAACATTTGAGCTTTAGATAAGAACAGTTTCGTGTATTTTACATTGATCTTAAATGGGTAGCATGGCTATAACAAGCCCTTCATATGAGTCCTGTGATTTAGCTATATTAGGTAATGCTCATTGCATTTCCAATCCTTTCATACATTCCATTCCTTAATTTAATATTATTTCTCTCTAAGAGAATACTTAATAGTCTTATAAAGTGTAAATTGATTGTGATTATCATATAGAACTGTGATATTCAATACCATTACTTGGCTGGTGATTCCTATATTAGATTATATTTTGTGTGTCTTTTTCTATTGAGTAACATGGTTACAAAAATAAAAATATCTTTCTCAACAAAATCTTCTCTCTTTCATTCATCTTCCTTCAGCATATCGTTCTTCATGAACTCAATCACAGTTTATGGTTGGCGCTTCCAACATGAAAGCACTAGTCTACTATAATCAAAAGAAACAAGCATCGTACATGATACGCTTCAGTAAGGAACAGTGTAGACAACTGTTGGTCTCAAGACTTCTCTGATCCAAATACCAACCAGGTTCGACGTAGGTTATCTTGTCAAATCGTCACACAGAAAAACTTATACAAAGCGCTTAAACATCAATTGTACATTGTACTTCACCGTTCATGTGCAAATGAAACTAACCACTACACACAGTATACTTGGCCGCCGACTAGACACTGAGTCGACTTTCACCGACTTGATCCAAGTCGACTATTACCGACTTGATCCAAGTCGAGTCCAAGTCAAGTCGAAAAAATTGCGATTCTTCTGCAAAGTCGACTTGGAGTGAATAATTTTGGAAAATTCGAAAGTTGACTTCAAGTGAAGTCGGAAGAAAACCATCGGCGCCCAAGTATACCACACAGTCCGTATATCAACAGTCACAGATTCTGAACATCTTGGATTTCTTCACCCTGGAAACTTGGAACTTGATGAAGACTTGATCTTATACGAATGATAGCATCTCCTTACTTTTAGGATGAAACTCAGGCTAAGAGACTTATCCTGTCAAATAGCCGAAGGACAAATTGGAAAATAATGAAATGAGAAAAATGACATGAAAGCCTGGATCTTCCTTAATTAACCCTGTGAAGATAAACATGAAGTCGTCAAATTCTCAAATTTTAGAATTTTGCGGTTTCCGCCGACACGAGCCAACAGCTGCAGGCGCCAATTTGTGAAGCAAAGGCGAGGCGGGTAATTTATTGAAGGAAAAAGTTAAACTATCACCGAAAATACGGTTGAAAATCCCCAAACATGAATTATTGCCTATTACACTCATAACAAATTTGTTGATGAATACGGCTCACAACAACAAATTGAGATGAATTCAAGTGGCAACTGTCGACTTGAATCGAAGGCAACTTATCAGAAATTCGAATATATCAAGTCCATTTCATACTGAATTGACTGAATTCGACTTAATGTCGAGTCGGTGCCCAAGTACATAAGAGATTTGAGAAGCAACATCTGACTCGTGAGATGTTTTGCCGATTAATCATCGAAATGGGAATGTTATGTCAAATCGTTGAAAAGATTATAATCACAACATCAAGGAGCTCTTTTCGGATGGAAGAACCTTAACCGTCCATGATACATCTCATAATGCCTGAAAATTGAGAGACAGCTGTAGCCTCGCCCAGGTAGTCTGGATCCTAGATATGACATGAGGCTGGAGACATGTCCTTATTCAATTTAGGAAGAAGAAGGTTGAGAAGTGATAACAAACCAAAGCTTCTTGCCCAGATGATTCAGAGCTGCGAGAAGGGAAGGAAACTGAAGAATTTGGAAAGTGAGAAGGTTTATCCAGTTTAGTCATGAACTACTAGGAATTCTTAGAGAATAGAGGTGACGTTGATAAAGTATAATCGGAATTCAATTTGTACCGTATCTCTTGAAGATATATGAAGTGAACACATGTTATTCAGATTGTGTACCTTTTCCGAGAATAAGCAGATTGTTGGAAACAATTGTTATGGAAAGACTAAAGATTACAGATATGAAGACAATCGATGACCATTCTTATTCATAAGAAAAGGGAAATCATTGCGAAATCTGAGATAAAACAACTGTAATATTAAAAAGGAGAGAATGAAGAATTCAGTCTCAAACACAGTATATAAGGAGAGGATAATGAAGAGAAGAGAGAAGAATCAAAATGCGTGTTTCTGCTGACGACATGAGAGCTCTTGACCAAGACATGACCGACATCGAAGAAAAGGCCCTGCAGTTGAAGAGAGGTATGTTATAAGTTAAATTATATTAATAACAAACTGTTTCAGCCTCCATCACTCTCGAGCAAGGTCTTAAACAAGAAAAAGCGCAAATTGAGAAATTCCAGCGAATTTTGAAAGATTATAATCAAAGATTGGATAAATGCAGACATCTACTCGATGGTATTCAAACAGGAGATGCAGTGAGAGATGAGAAAGCTCCGAAGATTCTGTAGCTGCGATGGATATTGAACCATATTGTTTATTCTACAGACATAGTTAGAAACAATAAAAGCTTTTTCTGTTTATACTGTATTGTAATTGAAACACTCTTGATACTATATCCCCTAAGGGAAAGGCCGTTCCCGCCTGTAGTGCAATAGCGGGTCGACCCATGAAGTAGAGCTAGCAAGC